TATATATATATATATATATATATATATATAAAGCTCACTGCCATCAAGTTGATTTCAACTCAAAGCAACCCCTCCTTGAGTTTCTGATGCAGTATCTCTATGGAAGTAGATTGCCCCATCTTCCTTCGGAGGAGTGGCTGGTGGGTTTGAACCAATAGCCTTCTGGTTAGTAGGCAAATGCCTTAGGCACTATGCCACCAGAGCTCCTGTGCATATACATATGTGGCTTAATAAATATAATTTTAGCCTGATTACATACTTATTGCTAACTTACTTATATTTGCTTCTCACACTGTTTGCAAAGGAGTCTCTGGGTGGTACACATGGTTAAGCACTTGACTGCTAATCAAAAGTTTGGTGGTTTGAACCCACCAGATGCGCATGGGAAGAAAGGCTTGTGATTCTGTTTCCAAAAAGTCACAGCCTTGCACAGGGAGACAGCTCAGAGGGCAGGAGTGCATGGTGGGATGGACACAGGAAAAAGGTAACTATGGGAAGGAAGTGGAAGGGGAGCTGTTACATTGTGATAAATTGTAGTCAATGTCAGGAGACAAAATGTATGTGAACTGCTGTATGGAAAGTGAATTTGCTCTGTAAATTTTCACCCAAATCACACACACACAAAAATGTCACAGCCTTGAAAACCCTATAAAGCACAGTGTTATTCTTGCATATATGGATCGTCATGAATTAGACTCAATGGCGATTGGTTTGGTTCCTTTTTTGTTTGTTTTTAACGAAAGAACGTAAGCAGAATGAAAGCGCATGATGTCAAAGATGGAAGAGAAACTCACTCTGTCATTCTGGCAGTGTGGATCAAAACTGGTTTTCTGGACTTTGGAAAGGGAGTTCAAAACAGGAGAAAACATCCCATTTTTGGAAAAAGAGAGCAGGATCCTGAGGTAGGTAGCATTGAAACAGGGTCTTTCTTGGTGGGGTGGAGTGGGAGCTGAATTGAAAAGGAAGAATCTTCATGTGGAAGACAGAGCATAAACAAACACATAGAAGGAAGAAAGTGCAGTGCTTGCCAATGGCATGAATTTTAATTTGGCTGTAACACCAGATGTAAGATGACAGATGTGTAACAGTTCACAACCTAATTCCTCAGCATAATTTAAACTAGCATAGCTTACTGGGCTTAAGGTATAAAATCCTGGCTACTAAAGGATTGAGGAAAGTCTGGGTCCAAGTCCAAGGTCTACAGATCTGGATTAAGGGAGGATCTAATGTAAATTATAGGAGTTTGGAGGAGGCCTTGGGTAGTGCAAAAGATTAAGCACTGGCTACAGACCAAAAAGTTTGGTGGTTTGAATCTATCCAGTAGTGCTGCATAAGAAAGAGCCTTGACCTAGGGAATGCAGTTCTCTGACACACATGGGGTTGCCATGAGTCAGAATCAACTCTATGTTGTTGTTGTTGTTATGTGCCATCGAGTCAGACCCGACTCATAGCAACCCCTCCTTGGGTTTCCCAGGCAGTATCACTACAGAAGTAGATTGCCCAAACTTCCTTCTGAGGGGCTGGTGGGTTTGAACCACCAGGCTTCTGGTTAGCAGTCAAGTGTCTTAGGCTCTACGCTATCAGAGCTCCTATAGCAACCTAATTTGTTTAGTTTTTTTTTTGGAGGAGGAGGTCTGAGGCTCAACAATGATGTATACCAATAAAAGTTCCATGTAAAGATTTTTAGCTCATCTGCACTTTCTGGAGGGCACCGAAACTGTTTTTTACCAAGTACCCAAGCCAACAGATCATTATATCCAGACTCAGGGAAGATTGTCACCTGTCCATTATCTCCATCAACCATCAGGATGCCCATTTCCAGAGTTTAGCAATCTTCTTGTGAGACCCAGTTTTACCTCTATTATGACGTATGTATAGATATAAATATATGTAATTGTAATTTTACATGTGTAATTTTTCTCATTAAACAAATAATGCATACTTGTAGAAAAGATTTATTAATGTAGATAAGCAAAAGGAAGGCAATTAAGACCAACCTAAAATCTTGTAACCTAAAAACAACACTGTAAATAATTTCATACATATATTTCCAAACTTTATAAAGATCACAAAATATGATCCTTTCAGAATATGTTATGACCTAATTTTTCACTTGATGATATAATTGTCAATGCTTTTCCATGCTAATAAATATTAATCAACATTATTACACTTTATCACTAGTTCTCTGATATTACTTATGATGTTTCTACTTGTTTGTTGTTTAAAAACAGTACAATAAACTTTGTCACTGATGATTTCTTAGTAATTTTCTTAGGATAAATTTTTAGAATTGGAATTCTAGAATTGTCCAAAATTAAGGAGATTTTCCCATATCGTACAGAAAGACTACATTTTGGGAAAATAAAAATGCTTACATTTAAGAAAATCATTTTTTGGTAAAGGACTTATATTGTTAGAAAGCATGAGTGAATACTACATTGAAAGACTGTCCCCATTTAAAGTGGAAAACTCTACTTTGTGAGAAGAAATACTTCCTAAGAAACTTGACCACGTATCTAGCCATTTTACATTTTATTTTTATAAAAACATGATTTAAAGGAAACTTTGGATATCTTCTCCTTTAGAATGAAAACTTGTACTTTATATTGTACAAAGCAGTGTCATGAATTTTGATATGCCATTGTTTGACCTTTCATCTTTAGCTGAGAGTTTTTCAAATATCCTTGATGGTGATGTTCAGTATGGTTGTTTGAGAGGTTTCTTGAATGACTCTTTTTTCTCTCAAGGAAAGCAAAAAAGAAAATATCAATGTTTGCTTGATTGAGTAAAACTCAGTGTATAAGAACTTTTTTTTTCTCCCTAGGGTTTTATTTGCATTTTTTATTGAAAGCAAAAATCCATTAAACAACAACAAAAAATTTTGAGATAAATAATTTTTTTAATGAAATTATTACTTAAAATTTGACCTAAGTACTAGTCAGTACTTAGATTCTGTATGCTAATAGTTCTTTTTATACTATTAAGTAGATATACCGTTTAGTCTGTATCACATTGATTTCAAAGTTGCTGTTGTTGTTGCCAAGTGCCGTCAAGTTGTTACCAAGTCATAACGACCCCATGCACAACAGAATGAAACACTGTCCAATCTATGCACCATCCTCACAATCCTTGCTATTCTTGAGCTCATCACTGCAGCCACTATTTCAATCCATCTTGTCGAGGGTCTTCCCTTTTTCACTGACCTTCCATTTTACCAAACATGATATCCTTCTCCAGGGAAAGGTCCTTTCTGACCATGTGACCAAAGTAGGTGTGGTGAAGTCTGGCCATTCTCACTTCCAAGGAGCATTCTGGCTATACTTCATCCAAGACAGATTTGTTCATTTTTCTGGCAACACAACTCATCACACTGTCGTGGAGTTGGATCCAACTCATAGCAACCCCTCCTTGGGTTTCTGAGGTGGTATCACTATGGAAGTAGATTGCCTAAACTTCCTTCTGAGGAGCGGCTGGTGGGTTTGAACCACCACCCTTCTGGTTAGCAGTCAAATGCCTTAGGCACTATGCTACCAGAGCTCCCGAAGGAACCTATAGGACTATAGGATGCTAATTTCATCTCTTATTTAGTAGTAAGTCAAGAAATACTGTCTAAGCTTGATGAATAAAGAAATCAAATTTTAAAGTATTTAAAGTTACAGAGGTAATCAACAATAAAAATAAAAACCTCATAAAAGAGGAAAAAATTGGAGTTCCTGGATGGTATAAATAGTTGAGCACTGGACTACCAACCAAAAGGTTGGAGGTTTGAGTCCACCCAGAGGGGGTCAGAAGAAAGGCCTGGCAATCTACTTCTGAAAAGTCCGTCACTGAAAACCCTACGGAGCATAGTTCTACCCTGACACACGGGTTTGCCATCAACCCAAATCGACTCCACTCAACTGGTACTGGTACTACTAAGGAGGACTGAGAGGAAAAAAGACACACATGTGCTTAGTCCCTTTCATTGAGGAAACAAACAGTTAAAAGGAGGTAAAAAATAGACACATATACAGATTGTTCAGAGTGTGACTTAATTTTGCCATATTATAACCTATTGGATTACCTGATTTGTAATTTTCATGTAAATGTAATACTTTTATTCAATAAATAAATAAAATTGCATCCTGTTTTTGTATTAATCTTTAAGATTCCAAGGCCAAATCTTCTTTAACATAATGGATACAAGCTCAGAACCTTGTCAGATAAAACCCTTTTCCAATGTTCGGTTACTCTGTTACCTCAGGCAAGCTTCATTACCCCATCTAAAAATGTACATCTCAAATTCCTCACCTAAAATGGGATACAATAAAAATATCATCCTTGTG